CTGGTCCTGCTGGGACGGGAGACTCTCTCACTGGGGGCCCTGGAAAGGCACTAAACATCTGCCTGCACAGGGCTGAGTTACATCATCAGAGCTGCGTCACAAGAAGGATCCTCCTATGGGGAAATTACCACACTCTAGCTTGATTCTTTTTTCTTTCTTTTTTTAAAAATCTTTTTCTTTTTTAGGGTGGGTATCACTATTTTATATCCTTATTTTTGTAGATGATGGAATTTTGTAGCAAAACAGCCTTCAAAGCAGGGACTGACAATCTGTGCCAAGCTGCCCCCTCCTCTTCCTCTGGATGATGGGTGGGAAGGCCAGACACGTTCAGCTAATGTGCCTCAAGCGCAGGGCTGGCAGAGTCACAGATTTCAGGTCAGCTTCTCTCAGCCTGGACCCCAGGCGCTCTCCAGAGAGCGTTGTCTGCCAGCAGCCACACACAGACACTGCCCCAAGGGACTCCATGGCCATCCTCTCCATAGACACCACTGGGAAGCCTCTCTTGGTAACTGCAGTGTGAACACCCAAGAAGAAACAAAGCTGCTCCTGTGATGAGACAGGACTGGCTCCCAGAGTGGAATCAAACAGAAAGCCTAACCATTGTCACTACCTTAATCCCACACACCTTGTCCCCCAAAAGCAGGTATTGCTCCTTGAATACATCATGTGCTCAGATGCTGGCCTGTGTTTCACCTGACTCTGAACTGGGACACTGCGCTTGAGAAGAAGTCAGCCATGTCAGCTGGCCTCTAGGACGGAGGCACTGCAGATTGCGGGTCCCTTGAAGAGTATGCTTTCCAGAATTCTGCTTTCCAGAATTGCCTAGGGCTTTCTCACCAGCTAAGCCTCTCTCAGCAAAGTGCTGATTACCCTGGCACAAGAGGGAAAAAAGATGAATATATTTATTCTCAGAGATAATGTATCTAGATTTTGACATTTTATTTATCTCAACCTTTAAGCTTATCTTGCTCCAATATGGTAAAACCACCGGCCGAACCAAATCTCAAAGCTTCATCCACTATAAAGCAGAGAAGATTCTAAGGTGTAGATAATTGTTCTGTGTCAGCTCATCCCCCTTTCCTCTCAGTTTGACTCCCGGAGTGAACAGCAACACAAAACAAAACAAAATCAACAACTTGCTCCAAGATTAAGGTGTAATCAATGCCAAGACCATCTGGGAGCAAAAGCTCATTAATTTAGCAGAGCAGCGTCTCACCCTGTCATCCAGAGCTTGTTGATCCAGCAAGGTGTAAAGCCCTAGGACATCACTACAAGGTCAGCTGCCTCCTGGCCACTTTCCTGTCCTGACACCCCAAGGCATCTGCAACTTGACCCTTTCTCACTGTTCAGAGGGAAAAAGTTGTAAAGATTAAGGGCTCACTTGAAAAGTGCATGGATCTGTTTGTTGTACAAGAAGCCATTTCCCTGTTGCCCCATATTTTTCTGGAATAGGTAATAAGCTGCTCATAATGTCACAGTGCTTTGAAAACCATATTCATTTCATATATTTATGATTAAAATTTTGTTTTCTTATTTGCTGATGTACAGAAAGAGCCACCAGAAGGTACATGGGACTCTAGAAGACAGGTATAGCAGTGAAATGACTGAAGTTTATTAACTAATACCCCCATAAGTGTATGCACTATCGTTTATAATTATATGACCTTGAATACATCATAAAAATGAATTAAGAGGATGCAATAATGTGCTTAATATCATGCCTGATGCATAGTGACCACTCAGTAAAAGTTAGTTTTTGATATTGTCATTATCACCATTATCACCAGCATCACTGCCATTATCATTAAACCATAAAGGTGCTGAGTTTAAGGATTTAGAGTCTAGTTAAGAAGAAAAAATATACACATGAGCAAAGTAAAGAAGCAACACTTATCTTGTGTCTCTATCACAACACTTATGATTGTATGACAGTTTGTCTATTTACACTGGATTTATCTTCTTCTGGGAATTGGCAGTTCTAGGGGGCTGCCTAAGTACCCAATTCAATACAGTTACAGAAGGCCGGTTACACCCAAGTGCATTTATCTCTCATGCGAACTATTCTCAGACATTTGCCCCCTTTAGACAATGAACACCTGAAGGACAGTTAGACAGAGCTTATGTGCCACTGATCCGTGTACTCAGCCATATTCCTGTCTCTGGATCAGAACAATCTAAGACCTAAAGAAGTTACTCCATACATCTTTGTGGAACAAATGAATAATAAAGAATATGGAATTAAAATTTCACTGGTCTGTTCAAAAACAGGTACCTACTGAGCATCATCTATGGGCTGAGTCCAGCACTCTGGGCTATGGATGTAATGATAATACCTAAACCCTGATGTGACCCCAGCAATGCCCCCCCAATTTTTGGCAGGTTTTCTGAGAAGAAAGTTAAGAGCTGATGTAGGAAAAAATGAATCCACACCTAGCACTAGTTTCCTTAAGCATGGCTTACCCAGACCTCTCCATCTCTTCTTTTATATTAATACCCTGAAAGAGATTCCCTAAAGACCAAACATGGGCATCACGAGGCACCCCAAAATGCACACCCTACCAAAGCACTTATGAAGCATTCTAAATATTTTTTTTCTTTCTCTTTGTCTCTTTTCTGAATTATATTTTCATTAGGGCATGGGTTATTTTATCAAAGAATTAAAATGATAGTTCTAATGCTATAGAGCACCCATAGTAGTTACTTGCCACAAATGACAAGTGTAACATAGGGCGTACATGGCAAATGACTAAGGCGGGTATATCAGAAAAGTAAATATATGTAGCTATATGTGTATACTTGTGTATGTATATGAATGTATATTTATGTGTGTGTGTATGTATATATTCTCCTTTGAGACTGAGGGGTTTGATTGAAGATAAGATTGAAGTGTCAGCAGGTTGCTCCTGCCACACTTTCCTAAGCTTAAGCCCATGGAGGTTGCTCCTTCAGAAGGCTTGGTATTACTGGATGTCATTTTTATTTTACTAAACTTCTCCCCTAAGGTGATAAAGAACCATTCTCGCTTGGCTGGTCCCAGAGCTCCATGAGAAGGAAATGGGCACAGTGAACCTGAGATTCGGCAGTCCGGGGCAAGCATCCCCCAGGCATCCCCTTCCCACCGCTCAGGCTGAGACTTATGGCTGCTAATAGCCTCTGTCCCACTGGGACAGAATTGCATATCCTTTAATTTTCTAATATGCCAACAACACTTTATACAGCACGTGCATGGAGGAATAAAAGCTGGCTTTCACTTTCATGTATGTACATGCATTAGAGAAATCTATCAGGGACGCATAAGCTTACTCACAGTCACAGAAAGCCTGGTGAAGGCGTACTGCATTCAAACAACAGAGCAAGTGTCAGGTCCTTAATGCATTAACAGAATTGTACTTTTTGAGGCTCCTTCCACACTTCCCACACTTTCATTTAGTGACATAATTTCCTTGGGACAGAAACTGCATAATTGACCTTCCAGTTAGAGGAGGAATTCAATCATCTAAACACCTCGCAACAAACACAAGAACAGGATTCTATCCTTTTCTTTGGTCTGCTGGGGTTTTCCTAAAGCACACAACAACTTATTTTGGGGCTTCTTATACATAGTGTGAAGCTCAGTGGAAAATAGCCATCAGGTTAAAACAAAATTCAACCAACAATCCTTTTGAGCGGTAGATTCCCTCAGCATGTATAATCCATGGCCCTCCTCTGTGTGACAACTGCACTCCCCTACAGGGGCAGGCCCTGCAACCAAACTGTTACTATGTAAAGTAACCTCCCCCCACCCCCCTCTAGACCAGTCACTGTTCACTGTAGCAGCGATGGACCCCTGGAGCAAAGGGCAGATTGGAATCTTTCTCCCTAGAATTGAGCCCTGACACTGAGGACCAGCAGCCAGTCTCTTCTGGTCATATTAAGTGACAAGTGATGAAATTCCCCACTGGTCTTACATGCAGGACACCCACTAGCTTGTGTCTGCGCTGAGCCTACTCTCAGCGTCTCTGTTATTAGTATACCCCGTCCCCCTTCATCTGTGCACACAAGTGTATGTGGTCAGCAATGGCTGATCAAGATCTAAGCCATCGTTACAACCAGGGCACTGATCAATCAGACTCCAGGCTGGACATCAACCCATGATCAATGACTATTATCCTTGAGGTCAGTCATCTCCATCCTCTCCCAGACCCAGGGACTGTCACAAGATCCAGGCCCAACTGATAAGAGCCAGTGCTCTCCTGCTGGATTGGGTGTGGACACGTGACAGAGGCTGGCAAAGACCCCATCAGAATTAGATCAATAAAGCAGATTTTCAGAAACAAACAGAAACAACAGAACATATAGTCCCCAAGAACAAAAGGAGAGAATAGCCTCCTGGATACTGGATTTCTGAGGACATTTCTGTCCCTAGTTTCAGCCCAAGTGCACATTTATGCAGGTGTTCAGCGAGTTTGTGTGACCCTAAAGGATCAATGGCACTTCCCTGGAAAAGAATTTACTGCACACTCTTACACATGTGAGGCAATACACTGTGAATCCCAGAGATAAAGGCATGCATGCAAATGCATGTGTGTGCACACGTGGGTGCTGGTGAGCAGAGGGCCAGGAAGGGATGCAGTGCAGACTCTACACTGGAAGGTTCCACAGGCACTGCAAACCCAGAGGTGACATTGATCCCCTCTTCAAAGACGCCTCCATTCTTTCTCTGCTGCTCCAATGAGCTCACAGATGAGAGAGAACTGAGGGGAACCCACACGCATCAAGACAACCTGATGAACAGTTTAGCAAAAAGGCCTATGACCAAAACAAACTTCGAAAGAAGGAAGGATCTGGCCTGCGTGCAGATAAACCCCAACCCATGACTAAGGGAAAAACAGCAAAAAGAGGAGGCAATGAGTACACAAAACCAAAAATCTTCCCAGGGAAAAGGGGGTGGGGGACAGCAGTCTTGGGCATGATGCTTAAGTAACACAGTAATCGGTAGTTAGCTCACTTTATCTACATACCTCCAGAGCGAGCTCTCAGTGATGCTACCGAGGTTATAATCGTAGAGCTTCGTCAAAATGAGAATCACCTGAAGGCAAAAGAAGAAATCACGGTTAGTCTCAAACAATTACAATCTCAGAGACGGGAAATGGCCCAAGGGAGGACTTAGGATTCCGTTAATGGGTGCTTAGCATAATTGAATGAATTGTTACAACAGTGCTTACACTGACTGGGGAACGGTTTACCAGCGCCTTCCTTTATTTTATTTTATTTTTTCTTACAAATAGTTTATTGTCAAGTTGGTTTCCATATAACACCCAGTGCTCACCCCCACAAGTGCCCTCCTCCATGCCCATCACCCCCCTCCCCACCAACATCCATCAGTCCCCAGTTTGTTTCTCAGCATTCAAGAGTCTCTCATGGTTTGCCTCTCTCCCTTTCCCCCACCACTTCTGCCCTTCTTCTCCCCCTTGGTCCTCCGTCAAGTTCCTCCTAATCCTCCTATACGTGCAAACATATGATATTTGTCCTTCTCTGCCTGACTTATTTCGCTCAGCATAACACCCTCAAGGTCCATCCATGTTGCTACACATGGCCAGATTTCATTGTTTCTCATTGCCATGTAGTATTCCATGGTATAGATAAACCATATCTTCTTGATCCATTCATCTGTTGATGGACACTTAGGCTCTTTCCATGTTTTAGCTATTGTGGAGAGTGCTGCTATGAACATTGGGGTGCATGTGCTCTTATGCATCAGCATTTCTGTATCCCTTGGGTAAATTCCTAGCAGTGCTACTGCTGGGTCATAGGGGAGTTCTATTGTTAGTTTCCTGAGGAACCTCCACACTGTTTTCCAGAGGGGCTGCACCAGTTTGCATTCCCACCAACAGTGTAGGAGGGTGCTGCCCATCCAGGCATTTCTTACCCTTGTGGGCTTAAGGCTTTCAGGGAAGACTAGTGGAGCTGTCAAATGCACACCCTGCAAGGGAGGCACTGAGCAGATGGGCAGGAGAGAGGAAGGTCAATGGCACTGCTCCCAGCTGTAGTAGCTGTACCACAGTGGCCAGGACACTTAGCTTCTCTGAACCTCAGTATTCCCGACTATCAAAGAAATGGGGCCAATAATGCTATTGCCGAGAGAGGGTTGCTGTGCAGAGTTAAATTAGGGAATAAATGCTAATTATTCTTCAAGTTGCATGGGGTTCTTAAATATCAGTTCCTTCCCTTTCTTCTGTTTTGTAGGTTTGGCTTTATTGGTTTCTCCTAATTCTCCACAATTTCTGGGAAAGCCACTGGATGGAATCAATGCTTCCACGAGGTCTCAGCAAGAACATTCTAACAAGAGCATATGTGTATTCTGTGGGGTCCTGAAGCTTACAGGATTTGGGGAACCCTCCGTAAGGAATAGAATACAAACATGAATTCAAACATAGGGGCGGGTCCCGGGAAGGGGCCTCTGCAGTTGAGGGACACTGACACTTCAGCTTCATTAGCTTCACAGCAAACCCTCCTCTGATTTGAGCCCAGTGCAGCTGTCCACATCACTCAGAGGAACCCCAACTATTTAGTTCTTTCTTTCAGAATTCATTAATCATTTATTGGGAACCCAGAATTTCCCCTGATGCCTAAGGAGAACATAAATACAGATGAGGCCTGCTGGTCTGGGATCCAGTTCGGAAAGGACAAGCTCACCAAAGAAAACCGAGGGTGACACGGAGCTGACCTACCTCGCCTCGGTCCCACTGACACTCATCATGGCAGCTTGAGAAGGCTGCTTCTCCGGCATCTGCAGTGATGCCAAGGGTCCCCTCGGTACCTAGAGTGCATGAGCACCAGGACACCTGGGAAGATTCAACAGAGCAGCGTGTTCCTAACCAGTGACTTCCCAGACCTTAATTGTGCTTCTTACATAAGGACAAAAACTGAAGAGGTCTGATCTGTTTTCTGTTGAGATTTCTATTTCTCTCCCGATTCTCATAACCTAGAACATTTGGCCCAGTCCTGTGGTTTCCAACTCAGCAGAAAAATGTTGACATCAATTTCCAGGATTTTCCCTGAAGGCCAAGGGATCAGTTCTAGTCACAGTGAGCACAGAACATTTTAACCTTGAATTCCAAGGCAGCAAGCTGCCAAGGAGTGCTGAATCCTTCCAAGTTCCACTCTGGTAGAGCACAGGGCTTGATTTACTGAAGGCACAAGCATCAATGAGCAGATTCCCAACACTGCTTTCACAGCAAGCAAACTGGAACTCTACAACCTTAGGTTTGTTCCAAGTTCAAGGGAAGGAAGAAATACTGTAACTCAAAGACAGCCATAGATCTCAGGACCCATGCTCTAAGGCCACCCCTGTCCTAAAGCACACACAGACTTCCTTCAAAGAAATGTTCACAACTGGCTTCTTTTATTTTTTTTAAAGTTTACTTAATTATTTTGAGAGAGAGAGAGAGAGAAAACTCAAGCAGGGGAGGGACAGAAAGAGAGGGAGAGAGAGTCCCAAGCAAATTCCACACCATTAGCATGGAGCCCTACCTGGGGCTCAAACCCACAAGCCATGAGCCAAAACCAAACAAACATCAGGAGATTAACCAACTGAGCCACCCAGGTGCCCCTCAAAACTTGCTTCTTTAGCAAAATGTGAGCATGTGTGAAGTACTGGGCACCCTATGGGTACATCAGATGGTGCACCTGTGGTGGGGGCATATGCTTAACAGGTCTGCGTGCCAATTAAGTTGCTCTAAGTGCTAAATTTCAATCACTGCCATCCTAGGAGCACTGATCAGAGGCAGCAGGGTGGCTGTTTGTTGGAAGACACAAGGTGACGTTGCCACTCCACCTCGGTACGATTTTACCTAAGAGGCCTCTGAATCTCCCACCAAGAAAATGAGGGTGTGGGCATAAAGCACTTTCTGGTAGTTGCTCTCTTGCTACAATACAGCAGTAAACCAAACAATGAAGTTCAGCTAGGCACCAACTGCAGCTCTCATGCATCTGAGGAGGGAACTCAGAGATGCTCTGAAGAAAGACCCTTTTAACCCAGCAGGTAATGGTATGGAGACAGACAGACACAGACAAACACACACACACACACACTCTCTGTTTAAGCAATTCACAGGCAGGTGGGCTGGGAGGTAAAAATCTACTCCCCCCACTCTTCTTGAGGGGCTGGTAAAAATGAAAATGCCACTGATACGCTCAGGCAGTTTATCAATACTGCACCAGAAGAGGTGTCCTTTCCGGCATTCCAAAATATATTTGCTTGAATCAATCTCATCTTTTCTGTTTTCAGAACAAGTGCCAGAAAGAAGGGGGAACTGCTAACCTTTAGTTGTCTCTCCAATCGATTCCTTGCAATCTCTCTCTTCCTCTTTTTTTTTTCCCTTCACAGTCTATGTGCATTATTTACCCCCATATTTACCCCCATATTCCTGGATAGCGATCTGTCATTATGTTAGATCTGGTGTGTTGTTGGGTTTTTGTTTTTCTGTTCTGGTTAATTAGCAATACTATTTAATAGAATTAGTACCTGTTAAAGGGCCCACAGCCTAACTGCCAGTATGAGATGAGAAAAAGGGGAAAATGCAGTTGCCTGCCTCTTCTGGTCCCATTGTCTAACATCCTTTGTGCATTTTTCAAATGTTAAAAGAAAAAAAAAGTGAAAATTTTTCATCAAGTAAATGTTATATGTACTTAAAAATACATAAATAGTCATTTATTTTTATTCATTCAGTAAACAACTTTCATGTATAGATTTAATTCTGAGCCCAACTGCACAGCTTTTAATTATAAATCTAATCAATGAAAGCAAGACTGTTTTGATGGATACACACACAAAATGGAATGCTCATCAGCATCTCATTTCTTTCTATATCTTGTTTTTATTGTATGGTACCAAAATATCCCTGATTCAAAACAATAAGTGATGACCATACGGTGAAGGCTTCTCTTAGGTTCCTCTTTAAATCTTAGGATACTTTCTTTAAATGGCTATAATCCAACTATCAGTGGCTTAACAACTTCTACCTACACTTTGCCAGGATCTCAGCACCCAGCTATTTCTGGGACTTTTCACAGTGGTACATCGAAGGATTCCCTAACCGGTCTAAGAGCCATCTGTCCTGTTTTTCTTCTGTGGCTCCTTCCTGCCATCTCCATTGCTTACAGAGCTACTGGGGGAAACTTCACATTGCCCATATGTATCAAGAGCATGTTGAAGCCCACCCACCAAACTGTTATATTCAAATCATTCATTCCCTAGAAGGTTTAACAGCAGTGGTGGGAGAAGACATCCCTGTAGTGTTCCTGACCATAGGGGGAAAGCTCTCAGTTTTACTGATTGAGGATATTAGCTGTGGTCTTTCATATATGGCCTTTATGATGTTGAGGTATGCTCCTTCTATCCCTACTTTCTCGAGGGTTTTTATCAGGAAAGGATGCTGTATTTTGTCAAATGCTTTTTCTGCATCTACTGAAATGATCCTATGGTTTTTATCCTTTCTTTTATTAATGTGGTGTATCACGTTGATTGATTTGTGTACATTGAATCAGCCCTGCAGGCCAGGAATACATCACTTGATCCTGGTGAATAATTTCTTCAATGTACTGTTGTGGGCAGGTGCCAGAAACAATGCGAGGGTCTGTGCAGGGATCAGTGAGGCTCCTCGAGGAAGTGATCATGGGCTTCTTCCCAGGACTGAGCTAAATTTACACTATCTGAGCTCACCAAACTACTCCCTCTTTTCCCAGTCTTCAAAGAAAGCTCCTACTGAATAATTCCACCAACTCACCAACTGCAGTTCTCACCCACCCCTCTGTACATCGGTGCCAGTAAACCATCTCACTAAAAAATGTGGTATATAGACACATACACAATGGAATATTGTTAGGCTATTAAAAATAAAATCCTGCCATTTCTGCCAACATGGATGAAAGGAGGGCACTTTACCAGGTGAAATAAGTCAGACAGAGAAAAATAGTGTCTGGTATCACTTATATGCAGAATATAAAATAAACAAACAAAAACTGATTTCATTGAACCAGAATAGAATGGCAGCTGTTAGGAGCTGGGAGGGGAGGGGAGATAGGGAA